GGGGGGGGGGATTACTTATATTATAACATCTGATGGAATGATTTGGTTTGAGACTAGGGATGTAAATTTCCTAGAATTAGCTGACATTGCAGACATTAATTTTAAAACTTGTTAAAATACAAATTATGCCCCACCACTCCAAAAAAATAATCTTCTAAATTCCAACATTGACATCTACTGGAACTTAAAACTCATGATAAATACATCTTGGTAACATTTTTTGTTATTCTCTTGTAGCAACAAAAACTGAATAAAACCGGGCACTTAAATTCTGTTCTTCTAATTTCCCGATGTGCCTGCAGGGGCGGCGCTTTGAACATGGATGGATGGATGCTCAAATACTCCCCTGCCGCCTCTTAGTGTTCCCCAAGGGGGCTGGCAGAGGGGCGCTAAGAGGTGGCAGGGGGGCATTTGAGGAACCAGCTCTGGAGCAGTACAACAGTCAATACCTCAAATGCCCCCCTGCTGCCTCTTAGCGCTCCCCTGCTGGCCCCCTTGCCTCTTAGCGCCCCCTAAGGTATCCCACTGCCCCCCAGGGGGCGGTACCACCCACTTTGGGAACCACTGCTCTACATGCTTTGTTAATACCAGTACAATATGAAATTTCTATCTTTTTTCCTTTTTACCACTTTCTATAATATAGTTATTATGAATAATGCAAAAATGTACACATTTTGATCATAAACCCTATGATGTAGTATATACATTTATGAAGATAGCCATAATTAGGATATGATACCTATTTGAAATTTGGATCAGTTTCCTTTTTCAACCTCCCCTGGCATCTCCTTTCAGGTTTTCTCCCAACCTGTTGAGTAGCCTGATTTGCAATGTTGATTTGAACCAAGATAAAAGCTTGATTGAACTAAACTAACAGCTTGACTACTTCAAATAGGTTTGGAAATTCTGAAAGACTGTGAAATTGTGGTGAAATGTTCTTTTTTTTTTTTTTATAAGGGAAGTATTACTAATAACTGAAAATCTGACAGAATATTTATTTTCCCCACCCATTTCATATGACCATCTGTGTGTAAATGAATGCATGTGTGTACATATATAAATATTGTTGTATGTTGTTGTACATCAGCTTCGGCAAATAACATACTTCTAACTGAATAATTCTAAATAAACTAAACAAGGGGACTGATAGCATTAAAAGTTGGACAGGAGTGCAGAAACAGAGCTATTCGTCAGGTTGCAGTCTTTGTCATCAAATCAACCTACCAGTTGTCTAATGATTCTGTTACTGAATGTTGGATATGCTTAATTTATCATTTCAGTTTAATTAGGTGAGAGAGCCATCTTGGCATATTTAATGAAATTTGATTTGAGTGGGTGAGCTTGTATATAATTGGCTAGACTTAGCTCTGCCTATTTGATGCAGTATCAGCCCAGACTGGAGGAATTGAGAAGAATGGTTGTGGTTTATTAGTCTTATCTGGAGACTCTTCTGCTTCATTGAGGGATCTGAGTATGCACTTCTTAAGTTAGGTTACAACAGCAGCATGAAGACTTGTTGTTAAACTGACCAGCCCACTGCCCAATATCTTTTTTGTGCACATAATAGAATTTTATTATTTTAAAGATGTGAATATTCTCAGGTTTCCCAAAATAAGGGTTCTTCTGGTTTTTTACAGCTTGGTGAAAATATTTTTATTTTAAATTATTTTAATTTCTTGTAAAATTTAACATATGTTGTATCTTTCTCTGGGACTGTTTCATGAAATAAAAATGGGAAAGAAATTTTCAAATAAAAATAAATATAGTAATTCATAGGTTCGATTCTTCTACAGAAGTAGTTGTCCTTGTACCAAAATGAGCCTTGGTGGCACAGTGGTTAGAATGCAGTACTGCAGGCTACTTCTGCTGACTGTTGGGTGCCTGCAATTTGGCAGTTCAAATCTCACCAGGCTCAAGGTTGACTCAGCCTTCCATCCTTCTGAGGTTGGTAAAATGAGGACCCAGATTGTTCGGGGCAATATTCTGACTCTGTAACCGCTTAGAGAGCGCTGTAAAGCACTGTAAAGCAGTATATAAGTCTAAGTGTTATTGCTAAAATAATAAGCTCACTCTTAGTTTGCAAAGTTAGCAGTTTTATTGCAATGCATTGGAAGCAAAATACAATTTCCAATAATTTGAAATTAATTTAGTGACAACGTTTTTGTATTCATATACACAGCATGGAATCCTAAAACTTTTCATTTTTGTAGCTCATTCATCTTTAGGGGTTCTTCAAAAATTATCCTTTTTCTCATTAGTTTAGCAGTCCCCATGTTGGTCTATATTGACCCCTTTAGTCTTCAACAAATTATTCAATTTATTAAAAGTCTGACCAAGTCTTAATATATCATGTAGCTTCTCAGACAGCAGATGCTACCTCACTAAGTACCATTGGTGTGGGAGAAAGAATAATAATCCCCAATCATTCTCAGAAATAGTTGAAGTAATTTGCTTTTCAAAGCAAGAAGGGATGCTACAATAATGTGATTTATTTATACAATTTAGATATTAAATACAGCTAGTATGTTCCTTCCTGTATGAAATACAGGTACATATTTTTCTGTGTAGATTGACTGTTAAAATTGGTATATCTTCTATGTCAGACTTTAATAAAATAAGAATGACAAAACATACAAAGAACGTTTTAAAAATTGTTTTCTAGTGTCAGATAGTAACATTGTTTAGATACAACTAATGGTTTTAATAAGAGTATATTATTGATGGACTCTCAAATATTTTCATAAGGCTAACAATCATCATGAAGAACACAAACCTCAAGTGGACTTTGGCATTTTTGTATAAAGTGCTTAACAAAATTAAACAGTTTGTTTATATCATGATGTACTGTGTCAGCAAATTGCATAGCCATTTAGGAAAATACCTTGTCTATGTAAAATGCTGTTCACTAATTTTCCTTTCCCTCATCCCCTAATATTGCCTGATGAAGAGCTCTGAAGATCTTAAAAAGTTGTTTTAATATCTCATTCACTTTTAGTTGCTTGTATAAAGAATAGTATTCAGCTGTGGATTTGAAACATTTTCTCCATGGAGTAACATGGGTATGATTACTTTTTGTTAAGGTATCTATCTAGCTTTCATCATTTTAACCAGAAAACATAGTTAAATTGCAGGGGAGCGGGGAAATCCCTATTTTTCAACTTCATTTTCATCCTTCAGAAGTTTGAGTGGTCCCACAACAACATTAACCTTCTCCTGAGATTCATCCACGCTTCTCTTGCTTCTCATTGAACATCCCTGGTGGCATCGAGATGAACGATCACCTGCTCTACACACTACCAATTTACATTGTATGTAAACTGAATTGTGCTTGTTAAGGAACTTAAAGGAGTTGAACTGGAAACGAACTATATTGTTTGCTGGAGAGGACAGGCTTCTATAAGTAAAGTCTCGTGGGCATCTGAAAAATAAAAGGAAATATTGTTGTATGCCTAGAAGTTTACTTCAAATATTTCATTACAGTGTAATGATGTATGTAATTCCTAAATTTCTGCAGTAGATTGACTCTGATGATTATGAGATACAGTAAAGAAAATTGGTAAAGCAAATAATATTGGAATATCAAAATGATAAATAAAACCCAAATTTGGGGCTCGTAAAAGTGCTTCAAGATATGTACTCGGGAGGAAAGTAATATGTTGTTAGTACAGAGGACTGTATAGTAAGAACAAGGCAATGGCTCTGTAGTAATAGCTATTTTTGTACAAACTATGTGAAATTGACCATAATGAAAACAAAGTTTGGTCATTAGTATACATTTTGTGACCTATCCATTCAGCCCAAAATATACTTTTATTCACCTTAGTTTTGTATGTGTGATTTAATTAGTTGATATTAACATTTAATTTAATAATGTGATATTAATATTTGATAATTTAACTGAAATATTAACACAACATAGTACTGTTTTGTTGGAAAATGAGTCATTATAGTTTGCAGATAAACCCTGTAGTTCTTTCCATTCTGTCTTAAGAAATATGACATAAGCAGAAAATATAATTCAGAATCTATGTGTCTGACACAACAGCAATTTCTTTGTGGCAACTTGGATTATGGTTCTTACGTATTTAATACACACTTACCCATTTCGGATTAAGTCATAGGTCAAGGTTCTAAAATCATTACTATCTGGAGATGCAATACATGTGTCTAAGAAGAGTACAATATTTGTATCAGCAGTGTGCAGAGTAGCTTGGAGATATAAATTCTGGTTGAGTGAAACATAGTAAGGTGATCCCACAATTTTATGGGTGAAGGATAATGATGAATAGAATGCCAGAGACACATTGTAATGGCCAATACGCCTTTCAGTAAGGTCAATAGCATTTTGGGCAATAAACATTGTTTCTACAATAGTGTTCTGCCTCATTTCACACAAAACATGAAATTGAAAGTTTTTCTTTCTTGTAATAATATAATCGGAGTTGAGTGTCTTGATTACATTGTAATAAGTTATTGTGTCATTCTTCACCTAAAAAAGCACAGAAAAAAAGAAAAAGTAATCAACAGAGAAAAGAAAAATTAATCAACAGTATTGACATAAAAATACTCATTAAACACCACCATTTTAAAGACTACTATTATTTCAGAATTATAGTAACAAAAGTTATGTTAACAAAAATCATGTTACCTATTACAAAATATTTCAGCAGCTACAACCCTGGCTTTTCCTCAACTTAGATGATAAAATGAGGAATCAGTCTCAGACATCATTTTTTTTATCCTTTCCAAAATTCCCTTTTTTATTTTAATTGTAATATTAGGTCCAATTAAGGTATTTCAAGTTAAGCAGAACCTCTTAGACTCAATATCTGAAACTAACTTTAAACTTACATTTCATATTGTTGTTAAACATAATGTTCGTTCAATTTAAAACCCAAGCCAGAGTAAATTTTCTTATAAAAATAGTTAAGACAAGAAGAGAGAAAAAACAGATAATTATTAGTTTTAACAACAATTAATTCTCACCCTTATATCTGTGTTACAGCCATAGAATGGTATAATAAAGTAGACATAGTCGCTTGCAATTTGAGATTTACATGATCTATCCAGGGAGTTCAGGTAAACTTGTGATGCATTATAGCCGATTGAATTGAGATAGCTTATGCTAATCCGTGCACGCATGAATCCATCAGAACATAAAAGTCCTAAATAATAACACAGAGAAATGTTAAGCAAATGCAAATACATCTAAGTATTACTATTATTTTAATTCTTGAATCTTGAATCTAAACTAATTAAGGAATATCTCTTCTACTTAGCTGGAAAAGGAAACTTTCACTGTCCCTGAGAGTAGAAGCATCAAAATAATCAAAACAAAGAAAAGTGATTTTATCAAAAACAGTTATGAAATTACTTCATATTTTCAGGAATATGTGGAAAGAGAGGGAGAGGGAGAGAGTGGGGGAGGGAGGGAGAGAGAGAGAAAGAGAGAGAGAGAGAGATCCACAGGCCAGAAATGCAAACCACCCAATCATCAACCAATTTTCAGAGTGCTTAATGTCAGTAAGTTGATCATTGTGTTCTGAGAAGTACACCCATGGACCTTTGAACTAAAAAAAAAGGAAAATCACAAGCCTTAACACAACTAATTGGTTTTAGTGAAACTTGTATTATTTTACCTAGAATGTCAAATTCCACTTCTCTCTGGAAACTAAACAATTCATTTTATAAATGCTCATGTTCTATATTATCAAAATAATGTTAGATGAGTCCTATCTGAATTCACTTTTTTGTGTATTGGTTTGTACATAATACAATACTAAGCTCAGTATTGTATTGTCACCATATAGTTTCAGTCAAAACTAAGGAATAAACTGTTCTATCATGCCACAACTTCATCCCTACTATCTTTTCATAATTGTATCAAAGGATAAATGTCATGCTTAAGCCTTCCTCAATTTGTTGTCCCAACATACTAGCTTGGAGAAGACAGTATGAGATGATCAGTTATGTACAAATGATTCCAGGACGCTTCAAATTCTTACAAATATATTTTACAACTGAAATTCTAAAAAAGAAAAGCTATAGTTCTTGCATCTGTAATGCAAACTGGGAAACTGAAAATATAGCAAAGGTGAGTATCTTCATTGTACAGGTGGTTTAACAGTTCAATTTACAATAGCCAACATACTTTTTTCTAACATCACAATGACAATGAGAATATTTTTCTTTCTTATTGGTTTAGGATTTTGGTCCTGGATAATTTGACTTCACAAATTTACACGTAACCAAGAAATTCTATAAATCTGGATGAAGAATCAGAGCACACACCGTGGACAAATTGAATCCTTACCACTCAAACACATGGGACATTAAAGTACTATATGTGAAATGTATTTCTGACATGTCAAATTCATTATATGAGACATATATTATGGTATTATGATCTCTAGGAACCATGAAAAGGAAATAAATGCAAGATTTCCTGAAGGAAAAATGAAGATTTTAGGGGCTGCTAAGACAGATATTCAAACTTCTGCACTTCTAAATTTCTTATTCTAAATGTCAAAAGTAGACTCAAAAGTAGAAAAAAAGTAGAAAAAAGGAGTAAGTCTCTTATCTAAATTCAGTTTTAAAAGGGGTGAAATATTTACTTAAAACCAAGTAAAAGGAAAGCTGATTTGGAATTAAATATTCATTAAATTATTAAGCAATTATAGCAGCATTGGTCTGTGAATAGAACCATTTGATTAGGTTAATGGTGAAATTGATTCAAAATGATATTCATGATTGATATACTATCTAATAGTACTACTAGACTTTAATCTGTTGCTTGATTTAGATTTATAAATGATGAAAACATAATATTTTTAAATCTTAGGTATACAATCCCTTGCAGAGTAGGAAAGTACTTCCTAGTCTACGGGTGTCAAACTTGCAATGTCACGTTGCTGTCATGTGACATTTTGTGACTTTTTCACATTTGCGGATCTGGGGTGGGCATGGCCTGCATGTAACACATCTTGCCCACGGGCCACCAGTTTGACACCCCTGTTAACCTAGCCAAATTATTATGAAATTTTAGACTCTGACACTTGGAGAACACACTAAATATGACAGTAGTAATTCATTAATGGGTCTTGAACAAGAGAACAAGAAAACAAGATAAAACTTTATTCTAATATGCCTGCTGCTACTTTGATCCAAACTAAGAGGGGTAGGTAAATCCATCTTCTCATATTTTTTACAAAGCAAATAAACATGCCTGATTCATATCATGTAGTGGATTCAAATCCTCCTACCTTCATGCCATGATACTTGTAGAACATTTAGGGGTTTATTCCTAGATAACGTTACCTGTGATCTCTAGTGACAGTTTAACACTTTATAGCGCATCAACTAAACAATATCGGAGAAAAAAAAGAATAATATCTTACTTGTATCTTTAGAAGTAGAAGCTGGTGTAGTAGGCCTCAGTTCTGTGAACACAATAAAATGATTTCATTAAACATGATGATTATTGCTTCCATCCAATCTGCATACTACTAAAACTCTTTGGTCTGTTTGTTTGTAACCTTAAATTGGGTGAAATTGGAAAGTGTAGGGCAACAGTTATTGAACCAAGAAAACTCAAATGGGCTAACTTACAGAATGCTAAGAGTTATGACTCTTGTAGAAATGAAATTTGGGGAAGTTGTGGCCACTTCAGCATCACTGCACCTTCCAACTATTATTCCTAGAAACCCATAGGTTGCATAGCACAGGGGAAAATAGTGGGTTGTATCCCCACCCTCTTTTCCATCTCCCTCTGGCCCCTGCATCAGTCATCTGGTGGCAAGCAGTGATTGGCTACTTTGGAACCAAATCTGAAATCTCATAACAGTGATGGGTAACATGGGGAGGACAGAGGTTGAGTGACCGATGCCTATGAACATGCGTGATTGGATTACATATGGTGAGGCTTCTACTGAAATATAATCAGTATAGCTGTCGAACAAACTAGTACAACCAAACTGGATTATACCAGTACTGAATACTTCTTTTAAGATTCTCAGGTTTACTTTTGAAATTCTGACTTGAACATAAGATCTCATCCCATTTATCTATTTTTGAATTTTAAAAAAGGCATTTCTCCAAGCACTTTAAATACATTATACGACACAACTAGAGAAAATCTGTTCTATTGTACCACCTCAATTGTGGAATCTTTCGGTACAACTGGTACACTGCCATTAGTTTGGCTCCATTTTAAAACATTGTTGATTTTCCTAGTTTAAATATTAAATTAGCAATAAGGAGTGTTCTGCTTTGTTGCATCTGATGCCTCTTCCAATTAATTATATTGTTATATTGTGTTCTTATTTTGTTTCATTTATTTAAACATTATTCAATTTCAGAAAATTCAAAGATGATAAAGATTATTTTGTTCATGAAGGTAGGCTGCTAAAATATTCATGTGAACCAATGGCCCTACACAGTATAAAACTAAATAGAAGTTAGTTTAAAATAATATTAAATCCCTAAATTACATCATTAACAGGATACAGGTAAAATGAATTACATAAATATCCTTACCTTGTGGAATAGAGTAGTAATAAGCAGAGAACCCATTTCCTGAATCACCTGAATCTCTATGCAGCACTATTGTCATTATGTTGGAAGTTGATGAATAGGTATAGTTGAGATAGGCACTAGAACAAGTTCTTCCAAGTGGATATGAACTATATCGGAGTCCATCATAAATCTCAACATATTCTTTATCACAGTCCAAGCTGTACAGAAATAGATAAAGATTTCACTCCTTATCTCTTAACATGCCATCATTTTTTTTTCTTCCATTCAATCACTGATTCTCTGTGACTGCCTGGACCCTGTGGTTTTCTTGGCAAACTTTTTCAAAACTGATTTTTTTTTTTCATTTCCTAGGACTGAGAGAAAATGACTGACTCAAGGTGGCTTTGTGCCAAAGGCAGGACTAGAACTCACGGTCTCCCAGTTTTTAGCTTGATGCCTTAACCACTACTAGTAGTCCTCCACTTACAACCATTCATTTAGCCACCATTCAAAGTTACAATGGCACTGAAAAAAGTGACTCATGACTGGTCCTTGGATTTGAAAACGTTGCCGAATCCAGCATCGCATGATCAAAATTTGGGCACTTGACAACCGGCATGTATTTATGACAGTCACAGAGTCACGTGGTTGCCATATGCGACTGTCCCAGCCAGCTTCCAACAAGCAAAGTCAATGGGTGAAGCTGGATTCACTTAATGACCATGTGATTCACTTATTGCAGTGACTCACTTAACAACTTTGGCAAAAAAGTTTATAAAATTGGGTATATCTCACTTAACAACTGCCTTGCTTAACAACAGAAATTCTGGTCCCAACTGTGATTGTAAAACAAGGACTACCTGAACACCAAATTGTGTAAAATTATTTAAGAAATAAATAATCACATTAAGCCAAAAAGGAATACTTAGAGTTTCTTTTAAGGGGCATATTTTGAATTGTAAAGACATTATTTCAGTTGAACTATGTTGAATTCAGTTAAATGTTGAATTGATTGCTTAGTTTTAGTCATCCCAAATGTATATCATGCATGCTAACCCAGTCTGGTTCACTCTGGAATAATAATTGTTGCTGATGTACACCAATAATATATTAGCAGTCTACAAACCCAAAAACACATTTATTAAGTAGATAGAAGGAAAAAGTTAAAAGAATCTTTCAACTTACTTTATAGAAGAGAACTTTAAATTTATGCGATTCAAGTGCCTAACTTGAATTTTCCAGACACAGGTCATATTGCTGTGGTTTCCAGGATAATAAGGTCCAGAGAAGGATCCATAATCATTTGTCAGTTGGCCTCCACATTGATTTGCTAGAAAACACAAAGCCAAATATTGTGCATGTAAGACGCATGAACCTTTGTAGATTTTAAAAACTATTTCCCATCCTACTGTTAATTTTTTTTTGTTATAGGAAATAAGATCAAGAATTACTTTCTTGCTGGTGTTTCAGAAAAAGGTTAAAATCTCTGAGAATTTGGAAGAATACAACATAGGCAATATCATCAATATATTATTTTACTTTTAAAACGAATTAATTAGGATAATCTACAAGGAGCCTCTGTGGCACAGTGATTAGAGTGCAGTACTGCAAGCGACTTCTGCAGCCAGCTGCCTACAATTTGGCAGTTCAAATTCCACCAGGCTCCAGGTTGACTCAGGCTTCCATCCTTCCGAAGTGGGTAAAATGAGGACCCAGATTGTTGGGGGCAATAATGCTGACTCTGTAAACCGCTTAGAGAGGGCTGGAAAGCACTATAAAGCAGTATATAAGTCTAAGTGCTATTGCTATAATTGGTAAGAGAAGTGCAGTGCAGTGTTTTATGATTTTTTTTAAAAAAGAAATAACATAAACACATACATAATTACTATATGTGTATATCTATATGCTGACTCTGTAAACTTCTTAGAGAGGGCTGTAAAGCATGTAAAGCGGTCTAAGTGCTAAACACACACATACACACACACACACACACACACATATATCTCATACACATATATTAAGTATATATATAAATATATAAAGCAAAGTAGCTGAAAAAAAAAGTCCTATATAGTCTGATTTGGGGAAAACTATCCATAATTGGGCAAAACCTATTTAACAAATGTCTCACTTAACAACAGAAATTTGGAGCTCAATTTTGGTTGTAAGTCAATCACTACGCATGAAAATGACAGTTACATAGACGAAAGCATCCTTTCAGTTTTTGAAACTTCAAAAGGAAGGATGAGGGGGGAAAGGTAACACTAATTCCTCCCTAATTCAGTATAAGTATAACAAGAGAGAGAAGGAGAGACATACTCATCAGGCTTTCAAGAATCTGTTTATATAGTGTATAGCACAACAGTCCCAGTTGGTTTCTTAATCTGCTTCATCCTTTAGGGCTGATATCAGGCCTGACTGAGCTTTGCTCTCTTTCCTTCCTTCAGATGCTATCTGAAGAAAGTTAAGAGGAAGTCAGTCTGAGCCTCTTCCTCAGGCTTTTGCTGTTTCCGGGGCTTAAAGGGCAGTTTTCTTTAGCTAACATTCATTGCCTCTGCCTTGTTTCTCCTGCGTCAAAAGGTGGTTCATTCCAATTATTAATAGAAATTGAGTGAAATGGATTGTCTGTTATTATAAAACATATGTGCAACATGAATAATACAGAGAATGTCAATAGCCATTTCTCTGAATTGACAAATGAGGATTTCAGACGCACACTTACTAGGGATGGTCTCTGTCACCGGAGGAGCAGGTGTAGAAGAACCTGTTAAGAAAACAAATTTAATCAAGCAACATATAAATACAGGGGACTAATATTGGGGACAAACAGAGAACATTATACTTGCTAAATGAAATTAGATTTATCATCTGCAAAATTTTATTAGAGTTTCCACAACTCCTGCAAACAGGTCTTTCATTAAATGTTGATTAATAAAGGAAAGAGAGCCCTGTGGCGCTGAAGATCTTCCGAATGAAGTTGGATAGATCTTTCTTCCAAGTCTGAGGTACCCATGAGCCTTCTTTGGATACAGTGATTCATTTGGCCAACTGTCAAGCTTTTTAATAGCACCATTTGGGCACATACACTGTGTCTCATCCCAAAACTAATGTTTATTTTTAAAAAAGATAAAAATGGTTTTGCATGATGATCTTTGATAAAAAATATATTTAGTTCTTGTTCATTATAACAAGCTTAAGGATTACAACTTGTGGCTTAATATTCTGTTTGAGGAACATGCCTATTATAGATGTCAAACGATGTATTTAACCTAGGTGCTGCTTTTTTCCCTTTCTTTGAAGATATGTATAACATTTTTGAAAAAATATATAATATTAAACTTGTTCCATTAAAAGGAAATATGTAAACACATTGCACTTTCTTTCCTGTTATGCCATTTTATTTCAGACTATGGAAGGTACCTGAGCAAGAAACACCAGCATCTTCTCCATGGTTGCAATTATGACGATACCATCCTTTATGAGAACATTCTTCCAATCTGTTTTCATTCCCTCTACAATTCACATCATCCAGAGTTATGTTTCCTGAGCCTTGACCAAAGTAAGCTCTTCCATATGCTTTGATAGCGCTTCCACAACCGAGCTGCTTGCACACAACAGTTGCGTCCTTTAGGTCCCAGGAATCATCACAGACGGTCCCCCACAATCCACCACGTAAGATTTCAACACGTCCCTCACAGTTATTTTTTCCATTGACCAGTCTTACAGATTCCCCTGAGAAAAATTAGACAGAATCTATGTATGTGAATGGGAAACTGGAAAAAATGAGGCATCTGAGACTTCAAAGACACAGAGAAATTTTGAAATTTTGCATAGGATGGGATTAGTTAAGAATCAGTTAAGATACTTTTATGTTGTCAAAGCTCTACTTTTAAATTATATTCTGATGGTTGAATGGAAATGCAAAGATCTCTTTTTCGCTAATTAATTCAATATACATATCTACCAATCTCACATTTGTCACTCTGGGCAGCTCAAAGACATTAATCCAAAATAAGACCAAATAAAATAATAACCACCAACATAAAACCACAAAATTACAGGTATAAAACCACTAACAATTGGATTAAAAACATGATGAAAATAATCGTCATGAGAATATAATTCATGCTTCACTCTCAGCACAGACATTTAGCAGGCTCCATGTCCAAGCAACATGACAAATTGAGAGACTTCTGTAAGGCCAGTAAGGTTGGGACCAATTTAACCTTGGGGGAGGGGAAGGGATAATATTCCAAAGAATGCACTGCATGACCAGACCTCATCAAGTGATAACTCCTTTATAGAGGAGACCCCTCCAAACGTGCCTTTTCTGCCAGACCACATGGGACAGGTAGATGAAGGGGGCGGTGTTCCCTTAAATAATCTGGACCCGTGCCTATTAAGACTTTATAGGTTATGAACAACTCCTTGAACTGGAACCTGGAAAAAGTTCTGGCAACCAGTGCAGCTCTTGGAGCAGTCATTTAATCTCCACTCTTTGAGAAGGTCCTATAACTGCCTGTGGGGCCACATTTGCACCTCTTTATTTATTTGTTTGTTTATTATATTTGTATGGTCTTCCATGTGAGCACAACTATTAGTGAGTCACAAGAACCCATTCTTTCCCCTTTAGTGTGGAAGCAGCAAAAGTTAGAGATCAATTGTTTGGAGATCAATTGGCGATATGTCCTGTTCTTTTTTCAGAGTCTTTAATTTCAAGATTAAAGATACAAACTTACTAGGTGGTATTTCTGGTCCTGTAGTAGCTGTAGTAGCTGTAGTATGACCTACAAAAAAAGAAAACAAGTCATGAAATCTGCAAATAGTGAGATAATAACATTGAAGACCAACATAAAAAAATTCTATATACATGTACAATTTGCCTTGTTACCCAACATAACATTGGAGTAGGAAGTCTTGAATAGGGAACTGCTTTACAGTATTTATTTCAACATTGCTGACTAATGCTATTTCCTACCAGTGATTTACAGAATCTAGCCATTGTAATTATTTATTGATGCATGATCATAATAGCAACCTCATTAAACTGGGCCTAAATCAGAGCCTTGGGGTACTCCACTGCATAATTCCCTCCAGGTAGATGAAGTTCCATTGAGGACTATTTGTTGAGTGCGGTTGGTCAGCCTGTTATGAATCCATCTGGTGGTGATGTTGTCTAACCCACATTTTTTTATCTTATCAAGTAGTAGATTGTGGTCTACTTTGTCAAATGCCTTGCTGAATTCCAAGTAAACTTTATCCACAGTATTCCTCTGGTGCACTAATTTTGTTACCTTGTCAAAGAATGCAATAAGATTTGTCTGGCATGATCTATTTTTGACAAACCCATTTTAACTTTTGGTTTTGACTTGGTTTGCCTCTAGGTGTTCACTAATTCATTGCTTGATAATCTTTTCCAGAATCTTCCCAGGTATTGAGGTCAGGCTGATAGGTCTGTAGTTTCCTGGATTTATCTCTTTTCTTTTTTGGAGATGGGAATTACATCATCTCTTTTCCAGTCCTCTGGTAGTACCCCGGTGCTCTAGGATCTTTGGAAGATATAGTTCAGTAGTTCTGAGATCACATCTGCCAGTTCCTTCAGAACCTTGGGATGTAATCCATCTGGCCCCAGTGATTTAAACTCGACTAGAATGGACAGGTGCTCGCTTACCATTTTCTTGTCTATTTTAGCTTGTTTTTGATAGGTTGGACTGTTTTTCCCTTTGTGTAAAAACGCATGCAAAAAACAAGTTAACTAGTTCTGCTTTCTCTCCGTTGCTTGTCACCTTCTTGCCACTTTCTCCCAATAGTGGACCAATCATTTCCTTGACTTTTTCTTGTTTTTTACATGTCGAAAGAAGCTTTTGTTGTTGTTATTTTTGATTTTGTCATAAGTCTTAGTTCTTTTTGAGCCTTATCTTTCCTCACTTCATCTTTGCAGGCTTGGACTATTTGTTGATATTCTGCCTTAGTTATTTGCCCCTCTTTCCACTTTTTATACTTGTCCTTTTTGTCTTTCAAAAAAAGAAGATAAAATCAGTCTTTGACAAAAAGTATTCTGGTTTTTGTTATTATAACATCCTAATGCTACAACTTGTGACTTTGTACTCAGTTTGAGGAACCTGCTCAGTCTATTTGTCAAAGTTAGATGCTGCTTTTCCTTTTTTTGAAAATATGTATAACATTACACCTATCTCATTATGAGAAAAATATGTAAACATATTGCACTTTCTTTCCTGTTATGCCGTTTTATTTCAGACTATGGAAGGTACCTGAGCAAGAAACACCAGCATCTTCTCCATGGTTGCAATTATGACGATACCATCCTTTATGAGAACATTCCTCCAATCTGCTTTCATTCCCTCTACAATTCACATCATCCAGAGTTATGTTTCCTGAGCCTTGACCAAAGTAAGCGCTTCCATATGCTTTGATGGCACTTCCACAACCGAGCTGCTTGCACACGACAGTTGCGTCCTTTAGGTCCCAGTAATCATCACAGACGGTCCCCCACAATCCACTGCGTAAGATTTCAACACGTCCCTCACAGGTATTATTTCCATTGACCAGTCTTACAGATTCACCTGAGAAAGATGAGTCAGAATCCATGTTTTTGAATGGGAAACTGGAAAGTGAGTCATTTGATACTCCAAAGAGAAGCAACAATTTTCAATATTTTGACAATTTATTAACATTAGTTCAATGCTTTTATATAAACTTCTGTTATGAAAAACATAAAATATATTACTTCATAGTATTCAACTTTGGAATTTTTATGCAGACTTACCAGACAGCTTTTCTGAGTGTGAAATAGCATCATGTGAGGCAGTTACATCAAAGAAAACAAATAAGGCATAAAATCTATAATTACAGTAATTATAGTATAGCATAATTACTCCCAATATTGGGGTAACAGTACTACAGCTGATCATTAACAATTATGTATAATTAGTGAAATTTTCTTTCCCCATAGTATAATGCTAAAGGGGTAAAATATCCAGAGAAAATATCTTGTTCCATATTATATTTATGTGGACATTTCTAACAATATGTCTGTACTAGTATTTGTAGAATTAATATGAGCCCATAATCTTTTTTTTTTTTTTGAAAATTTTATTTGGGTTTTCACAAAAACAAAATACAAATAAAACATCTTTTTTTGAAAATAGCATGGTCCCAGGTTATCACTTCTTCATACAGATACAAAACTCAATTTCATGCTCATTTTTATATTCTATTCCATATCTTATTACCATTTTATATTTTCTACATAGTTTTTCCCCTCTTCTAATTTTCTCAACTTTGTTTTGATTATCTCAATTCAAATCATTATATTTATACTTTTGTCTGTCCTGTTACAATTTCACATTATCTTTTCTTATTAAAAAATTTTTTCCCTGTAGTTACCAGTTAGAGTATGACACCTTTATATCCTTTAATTTTATCCATTCAAGCTCTTATTTAAGCTTCAATGTATAGCTTTAAGATTATAGCATTCAATATAATACATAACTTCCAATCGAATTCTGCTTGGTACATTCTTAAAATAGACACTATATTCTTAAAAAGAAATATATATATATATATATATATATGTAAATAAAACACATTCCATTCCAATTCAATTCTTTCATTAATATGCATTAAAATCTTAACATCTTTAATATTTCTTTTCAATTGAATATCATACTTTCTTGGGAACACTTATAAACTTTCCATAGTTAATTCTTTTTTCCCTCCATATTTCTCACTTATATTTTTATAAATCATTACTAATAATTTAAAATGTTCCCTTTTAATTCTCTCAATCATTTTAATTCATTTATTTATTAACAAACATCCCACTGCATTACAATAAATATTTTATCCATCATCATATTTTCTAAAGTTATTTCTATTTGTAATATAACAAAGCTATCTTATGTACCTTTGCAGAATCCCTTTTACAATTAAATTTTCACCCATTATCTCTAAACAAACTTATGGTTACAATCCTTAAATCTTTTCCCTGTTTCTCCATTTCTTGTTTCTGTCTTTTACAACTTCTTTTCCTTGCCTTCTTCCCCCTCTTCTTCCCCCTCCCCTTTTTACGCCCTCGTCTCTCTACTTCTAACTCTCTCATCTGTAATCCCCTCTTCTGTTGCTTTCTAATATTATACTTATCTTTCAAATTGTTCTTCTTTTTGGTTGTTTTTTCTAATCTTAAACCTTTCACTCTCTTTCCCCCCTTTTCTTTTTTACCCCCACTTAAAATTATTTGATCATTAAAGATGGCTTCTTCTTTGTCCTAATCTTCTTGTTCTGCAAGCGTTTCTTGTTGCTTCTCATAGTTCCAGATCTCCATTTCTAAGAATTGAAACACGAAACCAAAAGAACTTCTCCCTTCTTGTGCATCTTCTTTCCATTTTTTTAAGTTCCATTTTCAGTTCTTCTAAGAGTGATACCATTTTAAAAACTTTTAAACAACCACCCAGTTAATTTTAGTCATCTAGATGCAAAAACCAAAAATCACCAAGTAATCCAAATAATCCAAGGCTGTTTCTACTTGCTTCTTTTTTCCACTTTCTCTTCCTGGGGTTCTATTATTTTGTTAGCAAGTTTCCATTAAAATGTATCTTTGAGGAATCTTGTTAAAATTTCACTGTAAGTTCCTTTTAATTACAGTTCCATTCCTTAATTCCAGGCAGTCTCCTCCATTTTTCCAGATCCTGCCCTTCTATTCTTTTTTTTTCTCCTTTCCAGCTTTTAAAAACTTTTAAATGTCCAGAAATCTTTATTTATCCCTTTGACTTTTATTTTCAGCTTAGATGCCTATTAATGTCAAAGTGGATTTTTTTTCCAGTTTCTTGCTTAAGTCTCTTAGCTGTCAGTATAAGGAAGGGAAGAAAAAAACCTAATCCTTTCCCTTCTCTCTCTCCTTTACAGCTTCAAAATCTTCTTTGGGAACAATGTTGTTAAGTTTAAATTCCAGGGTACCTTATTTGTTGCTTTTGCTGTTTGACCCGGTCAACCAAAACTTTCTCTTCTTATCTTCCTCCTGCACATTCTTTTCTGGTCGAGTTCTTCTTTGTGGTGGCCATTTCTGACCACCGTACAACCGCCTTCGGGAAAGGGAGTAATGGCCAGCTGGGGAGGAGAGATGTGGCTCTCCTCAACCCTGCAGGCAGTCTCCCCCCTCTTCACCACCTCTACGGGGTGGCTTAGCCCCGAAACCAGCCGGCTCAGGGCGCTCCAGCAGCCAGCACGGATCGAAGCCTCGGAGAGACAAGGTTTCGGTCTGTTGCCGAAGAAGCTCAAACCGGAAGTCAGCCCATAACCTTTTTAAATTACTGATAAAGTCTATTTTCTTTACTGATATATCTTCATATTTGTGACTGAAATATGATCGTGTACTAAGTTTATATAGATATAAACCCTTCAGTGTTATACTGTGGGAAAGGAAGATTTTACTAATTATATACACATATATTCTGTGTGTGTGTCTCTCTCTCTGTGTGTGTATTCAAAATTAATTAAAGAAGGTTCATGGCAAGTATATAGTTTTCTATCTTGAAGAATGGATAGCTTTGGTGCATCTATTTTAAGATATCCTTTTGTATATAACATTCTTATTTGAACAAGAAGTGAATATGATGGTTTATGATTATCTTATGATTTGACAATAAATTATTGCTGAAAAAGTATGGGAAGATTTAAAAAAATGTAATAAGTGATGTGAATATAACAATTACTAGACTATGTTTTTGATCACTCATCAGTGCATGATTATAGAAAATAAAAGTGTGAATTTTCCTACCAGGGGCTCCTTCTGATGTGATGGTTGTTTTGATAGTTGTTTCGATAGCAGGTGGAGCTGGAGTAGATGGAGCTGGAGTAGATGGAGCTAAAAATGCACAAAAAAATTCAGAACATATTTGTGAGATAATAACAATGAAACCAGGCACAAAATAAATTGTATACAGTAAGTGAAACTGCCATACTCCCCAGCATGAGACTGCAGGTGATATCTTTAGTAGTAAAGGGCTTATATATGATCACTTACTAAAGAAGGATTTTGCATGCTAGACATTTACAGTGTTTATAATACAAAACAGCAGCTGACATGACTTAATGAAGTCTTTTTTTCCACAGTGATATATCCTCAAACAATTGGACTTCCTGAAAATGGCCAAAAGACCAGCCTGGTGGGATTTCCTCTGGACCAAGACTTCTTCAACTACTAACAATGGAACCATGTTCCCTTCATTTATATGACTCTCCTAGGTTAGGGATAGTCTTAGAATCACCCCACAAGATCTTCCATACAACAGTGCTCTGCAAGAAGCCTCAGGTGCAGCTGGGGACAGCACTGCAATCACTTTGCTGTTTAAACAGCAGCCATTTTGGGTTTTATTTTTTAAACAGATAATAAGTAGTGCATATTACTTCTTAATCATTTTGTGTGATTATTATCTTTATTAAGCTAAGAGAAGTTCTTTGCAGTCAGAGCCTTTTACAGCTTTTTGAAGATATGTATCATTTCTGAGACTTCCTTATTGGTAAATGACAGGGAAGAGGATTGCTTGAAGCAAGCTAAAATAAGGAAGAATTGAGGGTTGTTTTTTTTTTAACTTTGATGGAAACCATAAGGATATAAAAGTATTCAATTTGTATGATTGGCCAGGAAGCATAAATCGAGGTTTAAAAAATTTACTCCTTGACCACAAGACGGAGCTAAGAACATGGGGGAGAAAACATGGACTTTCAAATTTCCAGAGTATGCTTGAGAAGTATTTAAATAAAACAATTCACTTTATAGTTCAATTATGTTCTAAAAATGTTATAAAAGCAGAGGAACAAACTATTTAAGAAATTGGAAAAAAGATGATTAATTCAGAGGTGCTATTATGTGTAGAAAGTTACCAAATCACTGAGGCAATTTCACAAGTACCTAACAATGCAAAGAATTTAACTGCAATTTAACTGCACTACTATTATGATGATGGTATAATTACAAGCCTTCCAGTGTAATTGAAAGAAGAGTTCCAAGTAAATCTACAATTCTCAAGAAAAAAAGTCTGGGACTTTTTCTTCATGGATACTAACAAGGCTGAGAATCCCTTAAGAAAAAGAGAAGTTTATAATTGCTTGATAGTTATTCCAGAGAAGAAAAAGATTTTATTCTATGAGAACACTCCCTAGTTAACCTCCCTTAGTTTTCTGTTATTTTCACTTTCCTTTGTATTTTATATTCTGATAAACTAATACAATTGGAATTAAAGTTATTTGTTTCACAGATTTCTGATGTTGATTTTCTAGTGAATAGACTCTCTTTCAGTTGAGAATTACTTCTATGAGTGGCTCCAACACTTCTACTAAATCCCCAGATGTTTCTTTCATTGACCCTTGTCACATGAAGTGCAATAAGTAAGTGATATGAATATAACAATTACTAGACTACATTTTTGATCACTCATCAGTACATGATTATAGAAAATAAAAGTGTGAATTTTCTTACCCTGGGCTTCTGGTATGGTGGTTGTTTTGATAGTTCTTTTGATAGTAGTTGGAGCTGGAGTAGATGGAGCTAAAAATGCACCAAAAAAAGCATATTTGTGAGATAATAGCACTGAAGCCAGGCAAAGAACTAAATGCATTAATCTGTCTGACTCCCCAGCTTAACACTGCTGGGATCTCTTTGGTAATAAACTGCTTATATATGATCAGTTACCAATCAAGGATGTTTGCATACTAGACATTTACAATATTTATAATACAAAACAGCCGCTGTCATGACTTAATGAAGTCTTTTTTTCCTGAATGATATATCCTCAATCAATGATGGTTAGATCAGTTTTTGAGTTGATAGTCACAGCCATGAAACCAATAGTTTCACTGAACTTCTAGATGTAGAAACACCAATGCTGTACAAGCTAATTCTTATTTTTTAAAGAAAAAAATCAAATTGGAAGTTATGATACCTATCATCAATGCTTAACAGTTTATTAGAAAGTTAGGCTTGGAATGGAAAAAAAGAAGTTGGCTACTCACAATTTTCTTCCATGGCACCTGTTCATAAAGAAAGGAATTTAAATGTCACTCCTATTGATTTTATCATTCTCCCATTTATCCATTCATATATTTCAGTGAGTAATTTATAAAAACTAGAATAACTATCTCCTTATCAGATTTAGAATCATCCTCATCATCTATTTACAGTCAGAAAACAGCTCTTTGGTGATAATACATATAACTACAGAGAACACCAGAAAGGTAACAAACAAATCCTATTTTTTTTCTGATTGAATTAACTGTTCCTATACACACACACACACACACACACACACACACACTTTTAAAGTCTGTTTTAAAGGGAAATCTTGACTATTTCTTTCTAAAAAGCAATGTCTACTTTACTGTATATTTCTAGAAATTTCTGGTGACAAGTGTGCCCCCAGGAGACCTTTCTCATATTCTGACCTATTGATGGAATTTGACAATCATTAACTAGGCCAATATCAAATAGCCAATCAACAAGTCGTTTAGAATGGGCAGCACAATAAGACGTGTAGCTATTTCTTCCACAAGGAAAAGGCATATTCAATATTGCAATCGTTTATGTCTTCCTTAACATGCATGGCAAAACAAAGTTCTCCATTTGCTACTCAGAGATTGCAATAGTTGATGGAAAGGTGGTGTGAATAATTTTCTGAAGAATCAATATCATTAAAAAGTTGGAGGAAGAGGGTCAGGTCTTTTGGAAGATCAAGATCAGTATTAAAGATACACCACTTCATTTTTAATAATCAAATCAGATCAAATATTGCAGTGAGCAAGGACAGTATCTAAGACCATATAATGTTGTTCCTTCAGGATGATTGAAAACTATGCAGAAGGGTCATAGGGATTATAGGTCCATTATTGATGCTTGATTAGAACCAGGATTTAAAACAGCAGTGCCTTATGCATACCACGAGACAAACTGCTTCAGATTCTAGATATAACAGATAATTAAAATATCTGTAGAGTATTTATATTTTCTTAGCTATCAGAAGATGAGCTGCTTTGGTATAAAGAGAAGTAGAAAATGAGAAATGGGTGTGACACACATTTGCCACTTGGTTGCTTCCAGGAAAATGCCAAACCAACAAGGGGTATCTTCACATAGAAGCAAGGTTTGATGCCCCTTCAAATCCAGCCAAACCTTCACATAATAAGAAAACGAAATGTAATTCATATCCAACAAACAATAAAGAAAAGTAAAATGAAGACTCAGCCTTCCACCCTTCAGTAAAATGAAGATCCAGATTTTGGGGACCAATATGTAAATAATGATGACCTTGTAAACCTCCCAGAGAGTGCTGTAAAGCACTATGGGGTAGTATATAAGTCTAAGTGCTATTGTTATTGCGAAAGGGAAAAAATACTTTCTGATTACTGAATATTGCATTAACATTCTGTGTTTAATATCCAACTAACTGTTTCTGATTTTGAGGAGAGGAATACTCTAAGACTTTTTCTGGCAAAAAAATATTTATTCTATGAGGGTGTTTTTACCAGCTATTTAAATAACAAAAAGTATCATTTACACAGAGTAGCTAACCATAATTAATTTTAAGACATGAAAAGGGGGTTATGGAACTTACCACTTGTTTCTTCAGGATGAGCTATTTAGAAAATAAAATTAAATAAAATTATATGTAAATGATCATTTGTATTAATTGTCAATACTATTATAACAAGTCGTTAAAATCTGGTATGATTGCAACTAAAATGTGATAGCGAACTGAGTTTTCTCAAAAACATCATGAGGGTCAGTGTGAAATCAGAATGGAAGGAAAGAGAGAAGAATAAAATAACAAAGGCAGAAATATGTTAACTTACATTTCCCAATTTAGAACATTCCCACAAAATAAGAGAAACCCAATGCCTGACATTTTCCATATGTGATTTTGTTTTGGGACTAATGAAGGAGTGGTCCTGAAATAGCCATTTCAGTACACATATCCGCACAATAATGTGCATCTGAATAATTGGCAGTTAAAACTCATTTACACTTTAAGTAAAACGGCAGGCTTTCCTAACATGGATTTCTCCAAATGGAATGGGGCTGAAGTTCTCAGAAGCAAGATAAACTATCTATAGAGCTCAAAGTTCTGTAATATTGTTCAAGTCTCTGGACTAAGGGTCATGCTTGAACGTCTGTTCTATTTTAATGTAGCCCTCTTGAATTGTATAAATTGTTCTTAATTCCTGTACAAAAAGTAAACAATGATAATTTATGATTCATCACACAGTCAACCTGAATTTGGCATTTTTGTCCATCTTCTGAATCCTTTCCAAGGACTTGGCATAGGCAGATGTGGATGTTTGATACTGTTGCAGGATATCAGCTCTTCTGAGTAAAGCCACCTTTTGTAGTTGACTAATGGTGAATTTGTCATCACTGATGGTGTTCAAATGGCACTACACTTCCTTTCTTTTGCCATAGTTAATCTATTACTTATTATTTAATTGATTATTTAGTTTAGTTTACTTATTATTTGCAAACAATAATTTTTAAACTTCTTGGAAAAATTATAGATTGGGAGTACAAACTTACTGGTAAAGTCAGCTCTTGGCAATGGAGTTGTGAAATCCTCTGATAAGAAAAAAAATCTATTAGTCTTTGCTCAATATCCTTAGATAGTAGTTATGAGTTATTTGTAAAAATAATGAAGGTGGGATACAAATATGTAAATAAAGCTCAGTTGTTTGTTCTGTTTTTCAATTGCTTTTCTATCAATAGCCATAGAAGATCCTTCCAATTCGTTGTTTTCTCAGTTCTCAACCTTACCAACTTTAAAATATATGGACTTCAGCATGCTGGCTAGGGAATTCTGGGACTTAAAAGTTGCCAAGGTGAAAAACACATCTCGAAAGGACAGAACCATTATACTATACTGAATAAAATAATTTCAAAATGGCCAGAATTAGCATAGATAAATTGTGAAAATATTCCTGTCCATTTGGAATAAGAGCTTTATAAGCTTATAAAGAAACAAAGGAAGCCACTTTCAGTTTAGGGATTTATAAGATTCCTTTGATGAGACACATGTGATTCTACATAATGAAGAGGTGAGGCTGATGTTGATGAAGGTAAAAATAACAATTAAAAAAATAATAAATACATAAATAAAAAGAAAACAAACAAACAAACAACACTCCCCCCCCCTCAAATGGCATACTCCATAAACCACTAGGTCTTTTTCTGCCATCAGTTTTCTATGTTTCTGCAGCATATCTGCAGGCATCTGCAGATAGAGATTGTTTCATAAGCAATCTCACAAAATTACTGTTGTGTATCCAGCCATTCATAAAACCAGAAAACAAATTAGGGGAGAATGCTCTTTGTCATTGCTATGTTCCACTATCCTACAGTTTCAGGTTGCATTTTCTGGGTTGGCGAATAAAGCATTCAACTGCAATTATGTTTTGTGTGTTTTAAGGATCCAATTTTGAATGCTTTGTTTGTGGTATTGGGCCATGCAAAGTATTTGAACAAGTCCCAGTGGTAATATATATTAGACTGAACCAACAGAAAGCTGTACAGAGACATGCAACGTTTATTTTGGATTCACCAATAAGATGAAGTGATATGGCATACACATTTGTGCTGAAACAGCTGGGGACATTTTTCAGAGCAGTCTGTATGAACTTTGTAAATGGTCCATTTGTTTTAATATTCTGAGTAATAATAACACAAAATTGTTACTGTTAAACCCATCTTGCAAAATACATCTAGTAAATGTGTGACATAACCTCCTTTGTGAAAGAAATTTTCTGTGCACCATCTTCAACTGAAGGCCAAGGAGGTTAACATATGTCCAGAAGTTCACAATGGAATAGATTAAGAACTCTGGGGTTGAAGGAGGTTCAGGGTTGCACGTTCTTACTCTAGAAAGTTCTACAAGTCTATTCTTCCTTGCCAAAATTTGAGAGTTAAAAAAGAACTGTAGAAGAAGCCAGAATATTCTCTTGTTGCTTGCACACTTCCTTCTCTTCCTGACCACAGAGATAGCACAGTCCTAATGACATGCTATCAAGGGAGGAAGGAGTATTGCTAAAAAGCCCTTTCCCAAATCATCTTCTAGTCCTAACTGGAAGGAAGAAAAAGTGGAAAAGAAATTACTCTGTATTTGAAAATTAATTATGGCATCAATTCTGGCAACATCTTTGACTATTTATAGTTTTGAAAAATGGTCAGCCTTCCCAAACTGAGATAAGGTGATTGTTGGGTAATTTCTTTCCATGGGATTTAATGCTGGATTGAAGCTTATCTCAAAGGAAAAACAAATCTAAATCTGAAATCACAAATTGCTAGAGTTCTGATTTCTGAGATTAGGCAGAGAAAGACAGACATGTATAATAAAGTAAAATGTGAGCAAAAAATGCCCCTTGGTAGGAAAACATAGCAGCAAGTGTGGTCAATGTCTGGAACACTCTACCTGACTATGTGGTTTCTTCCCCAAACCCCAAAACTTTAACCTTAGACTGTCTACTGTTGACCTCACGCCTTTCCTAAGAGGTCTGTAGGGGGCGTGCATAAGCGCACCAATGTGCCTACCCTCCCTGTCCTATTGTTTCTTTTATTTTTCTTATATGTACCCATTTCATGTATTCTTAACTATGTTTATTCTTAATAAAATAAAATAAATAAAAATAAAATAACAGAATAGTGGAGTTGGAAAGGACCTTGAAGGTCTTCTAATGCAACCTCCAGCTCAGGCAGGAAACCCTTTACTGTTTCAGACAAATTGTTATCTAATCTCTTCTTAAAAGCCTCCAGTGCTGGAGCATCCACAACTTCTGGATGCAAGTCATTCCACTAGATAATTGTTCTCACTGTCAAGAAATTTCTCCTTAGTTCTAGGTTGCTTCTGTCCTTGATTAGTTTCCATTCTTCTTGCTTCTTGTCCTGTTTTCAAGTGCTTTGGAGAAAAGGTTGACTCCCTGTTCTTGTGGTTACCCCTTAGATATCGGAACACTGCTATCATGTCATCCCTAGTCCTTCTTTCATTAAACAGGATCAGTAGCATGCTTACCAGAGGTGGTATTCAGCAGGTTCTGACCAGTTCTGGAGAACCGGTAGCAGAAATTTTGAGTAGTTCAGAGAACCGGCAAATACCACCTCTGACAGTATCCTTCCCCTGCCACACCCACCATGCCCACAGAACCGGTAGTAAAAAAATTTGAATTCCACCGCTTACCTCCTACATCATAAAATGCAATGAAGCCTTGACCTTCTATATTGGAATGTCTGTATAGTACCACGGTCAGCTGGCCTGAATAAGAGAAAAGTGTCTTTTCTCCTTCACATATTTTCCCAAGTAGAGTTGACCTCTCTGGCTCTCCCTGATAGACAGCAATATATTCAGTAGCACAGTCTAAGCTGAAGAGGAAAAAGTACACAACAGTAATCATGGATCGGAAAACAGAGCATCATTGGGGAAAAAACACTCTGGTTTCTCCTTCCATGCAAAAAGGCCAACAAAATGGCAAGGATTGAAATGACTGAATGATATTTGAAATGAAAATGCTTACTTTATATAATTAAGGATTATTCTTATTGGATGATGCTCAGGGGAGTTAATTCTCCAGACACACTTTTCAGTTCTACTGCCTCCAGTATAATATGGGCCAAAAAATGAGCCTGTAGCATCTGAAAACGTGCTGCCACATCCAGCTACAGCTATAAAAAACAAACAAAAAACAAAAACAATAAAATGTCATATTTCATCATATATATTAAATTATATAATATCGTACAACTCTATAAATATTATCATGAAACTTTATACATTAGCTTACTTTAAGAATTGTGAATTTAATATTAATTGATTAATACTTTGGTTTCTGTATATATTTAATGGAATATATCATATCTAAAACCTCTTAGCAAAAACACAACTACCAGCTGTTTTTTAATCACATTTTTCATTTTTTTTAATCTTATTGTTTCTTGTGCCTTACAATTTTGGTCACTTTGGTCTCATGATAATCAGCACAAGCAGAAAGTTGACATAGACCAAAATTATTATATGAAATGAAATCATTAGAGCACAGCTATAAGAAGTAAAAGTCTGCCTTTTCCTGGGCATGTTTTATTTTCTATGAAGACAAAGCATTAGGCATCTTTGTATTAATCAAAGATCTTGCATGTCTTATAATATTGGCTATATTTGAGTCTCCCATTTTGAAATACAGAATTCATGCTATTGGCAGCTCAGTAAAAGAATGGGGAAATAAAAATGTCTGGAAGCAAGGAAATTCAAGGCATTCTGCCATAGGCACTTTTAACGAATTAAAAATGTGCAAATAAAGCTCATATATACCTTGTGGGTATTTGCATGTCAATTGCTTGATGGGAAATTATTGTCCTAAAAACTGTTCTACAAGGTTGGCCAAGGTTAGTCAAAACTAATTTTTCTGAATTATAGTACGTAGATGATCTACTTACCTGTTGAGAAAAGATCACTTGGCATGGGGGTTACTCCTTTAAAAAGAAGGTGAAAAAAAGGGGGGGGGAGACAAAGATGAATTATTTTGCTGTTACCTCAAATTTGGTGGAAATTGTGTTTTGGATTAGTTTGATCATATTTATGGTGTTTGTGTGTTTGTGACCTTTAGGAAGTCAACCATTAAAGGGGCAGCATAAATTTCTCTTCACTAAAACTCTCCTTGCTGGTCTATCACCAGCAGAGAACTGAAAGCTTTGAAGACTTACAAAAATACATTTTCCAGGTAACTTTAGTCACAGACACGTTCACCCCAGTAACTTCCAAATTGGGCTCTATTGTAACAAGTTCTACATGGGGTTGCCCCTGAAGAGCACCTGGAATTTTCAGATGGTGCAGAATGCAGCAGCGGTGAGCAGTTATGTGTGCTCCTAAAATCACACATATCACACCTCTGCTCCATGAGCTGCATGGTTGCTAGTTCAAGCATGTTCAGTTTTAAGCATTAAAGTTCTTCATGTCATAGTACTGGTTATCCGAGGGACCAGCTCTTCCCAATTACATCTGCCCGTTCCATTAGATCTGGAAGAAATTGCATACTTCGGATCCTGTCTGTTAGGGACATGAGACTTCTCAGCCATGGAGCATTCTTAATAAAACATTCTCCTCCTAAAGTGAGGTTAGCTCCATCCTTTTTTATGTTACATAAGACTTTCAAGACCTGGTTTTGTTATTAGGTCCCAGGGAACTACGGATATTTTAAGATTGCCGTAATATACCTAAAATAAATAAATAAAATAAATTTGAAGTGGAATCTTTGTAACTCATGGGGGGAAAAATACAACATTATTCATCCCCATGCATTGTACTCAGATGTTTGGTTTGTAATTAATTATGTTTATGGAGAAAATAAGATAATTTTTTTTAATCTGCAGCTGTTGGTTACTTGAGAAAAATCTAACTTTTGCACCAGGAGAATTAGAATAGACAGAATAGATTTTCTACACCTTTTAAAATGTTCACTCCTTGCAGTGCAGTGAATACCTTTACTTTATTGACTAATAGTCAAATACATTTTTTAATAAAAAAATAGAACAATACAATGCTGATCAAGTTAAGGACAGAAGAAGTCTAAGACTCTTATAGAAAACCCTTCTGTTAGATGATGATCAGGGCCATCACTTCCTGATGGCAAACACAATCAAACAATCTTTACTTTACTATTCTCCTGGAAATTTCAGGTGAGAGATTTGCATAAGTACTTAAGAAGAAGTACATATGATCAATCTAGTGGTGGGATTCAAAATATTTTACTACCAGTTCTGTGGGTGTGGCTTGGTGGGCATGGCATGGCTTGGTGGGCATGGCAGGGGAAGGATATTGTAAAATCTCCATACCCACCCCACTCCTAGGGGAAGGTTACTCAAAATCCCATTCCCTCCCCACCCCACTAACTTGATTTTCAGCTCTGTTCTCCTGTGCATGGCAACAAAAGAAGACCTAGCCAATCAGCTGGTACTCGGGAGGCAGAGAATAGATGGGGGTGGGGCCAGTCAAAGGTGGTATTTGCCGGTTCTCCGAACTACTCAAAATTCCCTCTACCGGTTCTCCAGAACTGGTCAGAACCTGGTGAATACCACCTCTGGATCAACCCAGGCAGGAGAGAAGTGGGAGTACAGGTTCTGTGCACCAAGTACAGGTTCTGTGCACCAAAGGAGATAATGGATTAGGACGTATGTTGCTGATTCCATAATTGACAAAAAATGCAGAGGAGATATTATTAAATCTTCCCTTTTTCCCCTTTCTTCATCCTAAACTGAAATATCCCCATTGTAGCTGATATAACCAGCACTTGATTTTGCAACCTTTTTAGCCTGGGTTACAAGCTCATGAATCTGATGCATTTAGAAAGTAGAAGGCAGGAGGAAAAAAACTGAATATTTGATTTTCGTAATCTGTTTAATATGAAACAATTGTCTTCCCATTTATTCTGGCAGCATATGAATGAGAATGATTCATTCCCAACCATTTAATCTGGTCATATTTCTCAATGCTAAGGGGAAATAATGAAAAGTGTGTATATTTTGCAATGTCCTTTCTTCTGTACCTACTTCACAAGATTCATATCTTTAAAGAAAAAATGTGGCATTGAATCAATTCCATTAGTAGAAGAACAACACTTACCAGATACTGTAGATGCTGCAGAAAGAAAAGAAAAAAAACTTATTTAATATAGCAAACACATTGCTACAAATTTCAAAATTCTGCCGCAGTCCCTTTCTTCTGTACCTACTTCACAAGGTTCATATTTTTAAAGAAAAATTGTGGCATTGAACCAATTCCATTAATAGAAGAACAACACTTACCAGATACTGTAGATGCTGGGGAAAAATATTTAATATAAGTAAAAACATTACTACATTTTTGGAGCTCTTCTCCCAGTATTGTAAACCTATCATTTCTGTCATCCAACCATAACATTTCCCCTTTATGCAATTCCTGTCCTTTATTTAGCTATTTATTCTTCTGATTTGCATCCATCCAAAATCCAAAGTGAGGCTCGTATAATCTGAAAAAATATTAATGAAAATCTAAGTGATGCTTATAAATATTGGGACATAAATATTGGGTATTCTTAATCACTTGTGTACTGTAAGTCAATCTCTTGATTGCATAGATATTCTTCCCAGATCAATATTCTACAGTAGCTTGAGTAAGAAATAAATTCAATCCAGCTTTTAAACTGGAAAACAAAATGGCATTTAGTAGGAGCTATGAAATTGACTGACTGTGTATATGTGTGGAATTTAGACTAATCTACTTTACTTCTACATGTAGAACTATCTATTTGAGCTATGGGAATCAACTTCTGTTCACTTTCTGATCTCCCTGGCACAGTACCTGTAATATAAACCTTTATGAAAATATAGAAATGATTATATTCTTTCAAGAAATATATATACGAAACCTTACACTATTGCTTTCTTCACTGTGTAAATACAATTCTCAAACTCACATATTGAGAATGATAGCTGAACATTTCCAAATTAAACATTTGGTTGATTATAATGTGAGCTTTATTTTATACCAAATATGGCATGTATCAATCCACTTTGAATCTTGGTAATGGCTATTAACTAATTATCATTTTTTTGACTTTATATCCTAGTGTATAAATATAGATATCATGTTTTGCATGTGATAACTATTGTAATTTATCAGCATCTATTGTTGGAGGAATTATAAACCTATCCTGCAAATAGTAATAAATGAGTGAGTTTTTCCAATTAGGACTGTAAACCTATTGTGAATGGTAATAAATGAAAGAGTCCTTCCAGTTAGGAATGACACAGAATTTAGGTAAAACAATCTTCTCCTATCTAGTATAATTCTGATTGGCTAGAAATGATTGGAATGTTTATTCAAAGACATTTAGATGGATCCTGAGTTAAAGAAGCTTATGGCATTTCAATTTACAATAAAATCAGAATTGGTAAATAACCATGGAAAAGCAGTACACATATTTCTAAAATGTATACCATTTGTGTTCTATTAACTCAATTTGTTTAATTTTATTTGTCTTTTATATATTTAACCATTCTTACAATATATCTTGAGTAAAATAAAAAGAATATGGAATGTTTCATAATTAACTTTAATTACCAATTCTAAAATGGGGCCAAATCATTCTAAGAGATTTTTATTCTTGGTTTCATTTTCTTTACACAGCAATTCTTAACCATATTTCACCTGGTCTATTGAATGGGCACCAAAAGCATGGCATTCATCCAGCCCCAAGTAGCTGCATAGAGGTGCATTCTTCACATTGGGCAATTGTAGAAAAAAATAGAAAAAATTGTATTTACATTGCTACAATGAGGACAGGCTGGCATGATAAAATGTGGCATTTAAACATAAGTGCATTTTTATTTCACATGTTTGCTATTTGTATGGCAGAGGGACATCTTATCAGCATCTTCTGGCATAAGTTAAGAAGACCTTTCAAGTGCTGACCAATGTTTTTTTTAACATTGTATCCCATTCCAGCTATACCTTAGCTCCTAGTTTTGCTATCATGTTCAAGTTTGTGACTTTGTGGGCCTTTTAGGATAATAATTTAGATCAAATTATATTTCATTATAATTATCATTTATGGAAGGAAGGAAGGAAGGAAGGAAAGAAGGAAGGAAGGAAGGAAGGAAGGAAGGAAGGAAGGAAGGAAGGAA